CGGAAATGGTTGAGTTTAGGACCCATGTCATATAATGTTTTTTTGTTTATTTTAATGTATTCTATCGTCTGTTAAAATTAAGGTAGTCAAATTTCTAACACCCCGTATAAAGATTTTTATTCATTTGTTTTTTAAGATATCCAGATAAAATTTTGCACACAATTTTATTTTATGCCGTCACATTTTTGTGATTAACTAATGATATTGTGGAGAAACAACTACTAACTATTCTGCGGACTAGTACCCCCGTCCACAATTGAATTTCACATTGTCACAATCAGTGGTTTTCGTTACACCAAATGCTCATTATCAATTATTGGCAGACATTAAAAGATTTTTCAGCTCTCATAGTTAAGATATTCTGTTTATTTATTCTTTCATAAACAGGGTGTCCCAAAAAATATTCCACAGCGGCCGGTCATAAACGGGCTGGAAAATCCACATGGTCCATCTGCCTTTACATGAGAGCGACAAAGTAAAGTAAAGAAATCCGTGCGATAGACAAGGATGGTTATAGTGAAGACGTTCTGAATCTGAATAGTCACCGCCCGTTTCGGGTAAGAAGTGGGAGTGACTATTCAGATTATGAAACGTATTCACTATAGCCATCCTTGTCTATCGCACGGATTTCTATGACTTACTTTATAGCTCTCACGTAACGGCCGATGTACCATGGGGACTTTCCGAACCTGTATAGTACAGCCAAAAATAAGTCGAAAGTCGTATAGTCGTCTACATACGTAGTTAGTATTTCTTTTATTTTATTAACAATATATTTTATTTTAAAAACCAATTGGGTAATAAGCGATTTGTTTTTATACTTGGAAACTTTTGTACATTTTCTTATATCATCAAAAAGTATTTAGCTTTATCCAACTAGTCATATTTGTAATTCAACCGTAACGAGTTAATTTTACAAATGAAAAGCTTATCCTTCACGGGAGATATATGATCGTTATTGTTTGGATTAAAGTAATGCCGGTAGAATAATTGGTAATAAACATAAGTGAAGTATTAATTAAAGTGGATAGGAAAAAATCATTTAATTAAAATTGGATTAAAGGAAATTAATTTCACATACGTTTTTTTTTGCAGTCCTTACACAAAAACGACAATAAAAGGAATTAATCCATTGTTTTGCAATCTGTGATCATTAAAACTATAAATCTTGACCTATTTCTTTTGTTTTTTATTTGTAATAATAGATCAACCTTTTCCTTCATTCAATACATTTTTTATTATAAGAAAAAAAAGGCCGTAAATAAATTGCAATAAAATGGAATAAAGAAAATATTCAGGTTAAAAGTATTTCAGTAAATAATTATTTAGATCATTCGAAGAAGAATAGTTCGTATGAATCTATGTCCTCAGTGGTTTAATTTTCGCGATACAGGGTGTTGCAAGTTCTTGAATATCTCTAAAGATGTTTGTTGTATAGTGGTGAAATATGAGTTAGCGATTTAACTACGTGACGCGTAAGAATTCATTGAATTTTAGAACAAAAAAATTTTTTCTATTTTATTTAGAAAGTGGAATATTTCTGTTACTTTTTTTATTTGAAAATTAGTTTACTGTTTTACCGTTTATTTACCGTGTTATAAAATCATTGCTGGCAATGTAAATGAAGAAACTTGGCACAAAGCATGCACTGCTCTATTTGTAAATAACTTTTACATATTTTAGACTATCTGCAAACTGTGATCACGAAGTGATTCGCTTAGAAAAGTTTGAATATGATTTAGTTACATGCATAGGTAGCATACTACTACGGTGCACTTCTGTGAATACAAATCTTTCTTATAAGACAAGGGTTTAAAGCGATTGCATTTATGAAAGTATAATACGATTTGATATATGTAGTATTATACTGTGATACGATGTTACTGCAGCTAAAGTATTCTAAAAAATATACTGAAATTATTGAAATGTTGATTTTAAAATGAAAAATGATATTAAAAATGTCATAATTTATCTAAATGCATAAGATTTTTATATGCGCCGTGATGCAAAGTATAAATACGAGTATAAATATTTCATTGTTTATATGCTGCTGTATTTTTGACTTCTTGTATTGAAAATTTCTCGTACCCACTTTATAAATGAAAAAGTATTTCAAAAACGTACTTTATTTGAAACTTTTCCACTTTATTTTATTATTCCAGATTGAATTAGACAAATAAACAGAAGTTGAATGTAATCCATTTCTAATAACTAATTTGTGTATCGAAAATTTAAATTTCTCGCCACCTATTATTCATGCTCTATTGCGCTGTTGCCGTTACTTCTTCGCGTTTATTACTTGGCGGACGACTATGTCAAATATTTAAATTTTTGGTATTAAAAACAAAAATAAACCGATAAATAATTCGTGAATTTTATTAAATAATTCACAGAATTTGATTTCGCATTGCAAAAAAAAATATATATAGTCTAGACTATCTGTTTTGGTTTGGGTGAATCGTATGCCCACGGAGATTTTTGTCTTTTTTGATTTCAAATATCACTAGAAATGAACGTTTTTCTATGCGCATAAAAAAACGTGGGCTTAACTTTTGAAGGCACAATATGTTAAAAAAATTCGAAAAATTTAATATTTTTCTTCGTATTTAATTACATATCTTTTCAAGAGTTGATTTTAGGGGAAAATGGAAGAGGACAGAAATGTTTGTAATTAAATGGGGTTAAAAAACTTTACTTTTTAGGGAATTTTTTTGGGGTCTTTAAATTGGGTATAGCACCTGCATACTTGGCTCAAGAAAACTTCCCTGTTATGAAGAATCATTACACCAAATTTTATCAAAATCGGTTCGATAGATTTTGCATAACAATTTTGCAATCCAGATTTTGAAAAAAAATTGCAAATTTTCAAAATTTTACACTGCAAAAACCAAGGCCCTTAGATACTTGACCTATTTTTAAATAAAAAAAATTTTGATTTGGTTGAATATTCACAAAGTTATTCTAATTGTTTATAAGTACAAAAATTCGACCAATGTTTAATCAAACGCCAGAGCTCTCCTAATTGACGGATTCGAATTTTTCGAAAAGCGTTTGAAAGCTTGAGAGTCCTTCTATATGTGATTAAATTTTCATCTAAGGGCCTTGGTTTTTGCTGTGTAAAATTTTGAAAATTTGCAATTTTTTTTTCAAAATTTGGATTGCAAAATTATTATGCGATATCTATTAAACCGATTTTGATAAAATTTGGTAACATGAAGTTTTCTTGAGCCAAGTATGAAGGTCCTATACCCAATTTAAAGACCCCAAAAAAAGTCCTAAAAAGTTATGTTTTTAACCTCATTTTTTGTCGATTTTTTCGATTTTTACCATAATCATGATTCATTCGATTTGTAACTAGTCATATTTTGTAAAAAATTTAATTACAAACATTTTTTTCCTCTTCCATTTTCGCCAAAAATCAACTCTTGAAAAGATACATAATTAAATAGGAAGAAAAATATGACATATTGTGCCGCCAAAAGTTAAGTCCACGTTTTTTTTAAGCGCATAGAAAAATTTTCATTTCTAGTGACATTTGAAAACCAAAAAGCCAAAAATCCATGAATATATGATTCACCTAAATATGGACTTTTTGAAACAGATACTGTCTGGACTAATATTGGAATAATACGAAATTGACTCGCATTTTTTCGTAGAACTCGATCGTTCTTAGAAAAAAATTTTTACACCTACGATTTTTTTTAGATTTTTGCTGGTCACACTGTATTTAAAATTGCATTTCTAAGACTGCTATGGACCTCCATAACCATATACTTTTTACATTCCTCGCTTTTTCCATTGTACTTTTCATGTTATATATTATTAATAGCGAGCACTTTTTTTATACAGGTTGTTTCTAAAATAGGGTTCCAAACTTCTGCTGCATTTATAACTTATTAAAATAAGCCAAAAAGTTCCTATTAACATGTGCCCTAAAACGCACTCTTAGGAAGTTATATGCCCTTAAAAGGGCTCAAACAAAACTGTTTTTTTTCTGTTATTGACAAAACGGTCTCAAATAAATAGAAAAATATTTATGGGTCTTATATAACTTTTTAGTTAAATAACATGGGCTACTCCGTTTTTCGACATGCAAGTCATATGCGTCCCATTTAGGTTGATGAAGGGGGTTTTCGGCCCGTAATTTTTTTTATTTCAATTTTTTTACAATTTTCTCTACAGATTTATAAAATCTTAATAATTTTACGTAAAAAATATTATCTTTGTCCAAATCGATATTTCCAATGGTTTTCGAGTAAATTGANTACAGACGCCTCGCTTCTGATGCATTTCCAGCCGCACGGCCGTACATAAAGTGCATATCTGCCATTTCCGTGTTTGAATATGACTCCATTTTATGAGTTGCAATAATGTTGTATACTTAAATTTTCCACTCACCACTTTTACTAATTAAACACTGCAAAGCTCAATTGACAGTTTATCAATAACTTAAATTGTTAAGCGTTGTGGCAACGTCAGTCTTTTATTTGCCATGGTAAACAGATTTTTGTAATTTTTGGCCTAATAACTTAAAGAGCAGAGTAATTTTCAAACTCAATTTACTCGAAAACCATTGGAAATATCGATTTGGACAAAGACAATATTTTTTACGTAAAATTGTTAAGATTTTATAAATCTGTAGAGAAAATTGTAAAAAAATTGAAATAAAAAAAATTACGGGCCGAAAACCCCCTTCACCAACCTGAATGGGACGCATATGATTTGCATGTCGAAAAACGGAGTAGCCCACGTTATTTAACGTAAAAAGTTATGCAAGACCCATAAATACAGAAAAAAACAGTTTTGTTTGAGCCCTTTTAAGGGCATATAACTTCCTAAGGGTGCGATTTAGGGCACATGTTAATACGTACTTTTTGGCTTATTTTAATGAGTTATAAACGCAGCAGAATTTTGGAACCCTATTTTAGAAACACCCTGTATAGTCCTAATTTTTATAGCCTCATTTTATTTGATTAACGACGTTCTTTCTTTGTCCGCAGATTGGAACCGTCAAGACATCTCCACCACCACCACCACCACCCACATATCCCCCACGTGCGCCTCGGCCGTCGCCGAGGAGGGTGCCGGCGACTGCCTCGCCATCACCATCGCCGCCTTGTCCCGGCGCATCGAGTCGGAGCTGCGGTCCGCCAAGCGCTCACACCTGGCCTGCGGCGAGGTGCTGCTGCCGTGCGGCCTCCTCCAAAGGATCGCGGCTGACATCGTCTCCATGGCCGAGTCGGAGCCGTGCGGCCTGCGGGGCTGCAAGCTGTACCTGCTCTTCGAGACGACGGAGCACTGCATCAGGGTGGGGACGGTGCAGTGCGACGTCGCCACGGCGCCCACCTTCGAGTTGTACCTTACGCTGAAGCAGAGCTCCACCGGGTGGCAGTTCTTGCCGCAGTTCATCAGGTGAGTTCGCGGCTTCCGGTGGGGTGATTTAGATAACTTTTTTTTCTAAGAAGCGATCAGTGAAGTCATTAATTTGTAAAAGTAATAAGCGTGCACATTCCAAGTGAATGCGCGAAGGCCCAACATATCCGAACACTATGCGAAATGAACGGCACATTACAATTTCTATGCACAGAGTATACAGGGTGTATTTAAATGGAGGGACACAAATGTTACCAGAGATTCCTTGGGTGAAAATAAGTCGATAATAAAAAAGATACAGGGTGTCAAGGTGAAAAATAAAAAATGGTTTTTCCTTAATAATTTCTATAATTTTGGTCAGAAATGTTTCAAATTTTCCACAGAGAGATTTTTTAATGATGGGAAAAATAATATAATAATGATTTTTGAGTGTCAAATACGAGGCGCCCTCTGCTGGCAACGTTATGCATTAAATACGTAGTAACTTTTTTGCCAACCCCCGTATATAGCTTTTAGTAACAAAATATGAAATATTGGACTTTTTTTAACAGAAAAGGTATACTTGTTGAAAATGGCTAAAGCCAACCGTTCAGGAGATATTTTTAACTTAATAAATTAGTGTTACGGATTTATACCTCCACGAATACCAAGGTTCGAGTTGCTTAAATAAATTAAAAAATCGAGTAGATAAATGTCAGTTGATAATACTCGTAAATTGCAATTTTGAAGTATTAGTGTAAAGTGTTAATTGATTTTAGTAACTATTTACGTGCATCCTAGATATTAAATAGTTTTGGAATTGAATAAAATAACAAATTATGTATACTAATGACGAGTATGTCGATATGTTGCAAGTATTTTTTAAATGTTACAAGAACTGTGCTGCTGCTGTACGACTTCATCATGCTAGTTATCCCAATCGTCGTGTTCCTGCTAGAAAAACTTTTGCGTCGGTAAAAAAAAACTTCAACCTCCTCCTGAAGGTACTGGCAGAAGACATCTTATTCGCGATGTAGAACTTGAAGAAATTGTCCTTATCAATTTACAAGATCAGAATTCTGAAACTAGTACCAGAAAATTGGCGACACAGTATAACGTTTCACATACTACGATTTGGAAAATTGCAAATGATAATCTTTTATACCCCTACCATCTACCTGTGTATGAATTGACTGCTGCGGATTTACCTAACAAGATATATTTTTGTCAATGGTATATGAACATTTCAAGGGAAAACAGAAATATTTTATCCGGTATTTTGTTTGGTGATTAAGCGTCATTTTCACTCATGGTCTGACAAAAATCCTCACCAAGTTTGTACATCCAAATTTCAACATAATTTTAGTTTAAATGTATTGGCAACAATCGTAGAAGATTATCTTATTGGTCTGTTTATTCTTCCTCGGCATCTCGGCGGAGCTGGATATTTGAATATTTGAGATTTTTAAATGAGCAACTCCCAATATTGCTTGAAGATGTGCCACTAGCTATCCGTGAACACATGTGGTACGCACGTGACGGAACTCTTGTTCATAGTTGTTAGGCAATGGTTAGTAGCTGTTAGACAATGGTTAAATTTAAATTTTCCTGAGAGATCGATAGGTCGAGGGAACGATGCACCAGTCAAATGGCCTGTGCGATTACCGGATCTCACACCCATGGACTATTTTTATGGGGTCACTTAAAAATGTTGTTTATTCCAACCCTATTGATAGTGTGGAGAATTTTTGCAGCAGCTGAGGAAGTAAAGAATGACATACATATTTTTTCAAGAGTTCGCCGTAATTCTAATCGTAGAATTAGACTATCCTTGCAGGAAAATGGAAATGACTTCGAAAATATCCTTTAAAAATTTTTTTATTGCCAGCCAATTACATATTTCTCTTAAATTATCTAGGTATTGACTGTTAAGTAGTGACTCTTGGTTTTAGTTGTTTTGCTTGTTTTAGTTGTTTTCTTTAACTCAGAGTTTAAATAATTTCACATACACAAGAAAATGTGTTTTTTAATAAAGACACCGAAAAAACAATTAAATAGAAATTATGCAACAAGTGTATTCACACACGCTAAAATAATAGGTACGCAAAAATAGTAAAATAAAGTTAAAACAAGAAAAATAATGTCTCAGTTGATTTCTGCGCCCCCTTTTGGTCGAATTTTAAAATACAGAACACAACTAATAATTACTGTGAGGCAATGCGTTCTGAATTTATTAACAAAAGTGTCTGTTTATACCTTGGTATTCGTGGAGGTATAAATCCGTAACACTAATTTATTAAGTTAAAAATATCTCCTAAACGGTTGGCTTTAGTCATTTTCAATAAGTATACCTTTTTTGTTCAAAAAAGTCCAATATTTCATATTTTGTTACTAAAAGCTATATACGGGGGTTGGCAAAAAAGTTACTACGTATTTAATGCATAACGTTGCCAGCAGAGGGCGCCTCGTATTCGACACTCAAAAATCATTATTATATTATTTTTCCCATCATTAAAAAATCTCTCTGTTGAAAATTTGAAACATTTCTGACTGAAATTATAGAAATTATTAAGGAAAAACAATTTTTTATTTTTCACTTTGACACCCTGTATCTTTTTTATTATGCGACTTGGGATATAGGTATGTTAGGTTAAATCGACTTATTTTCACCCAAGGAATCTCTGGTATCATTTGTGCTCCTCCATTTAAATACACCCTGTATATTAGTTATTTACACCATAAATGAGGTAAGTATTATTTACTGGCAATACAGTCCGAGACTGGTAAATATACCATATATATATAATAACCTAGAAATTCTCAAGAAATATATCAAACTTAGATTGGAAATTAAAACTGAAATTTCCCACTTTTTTATGCGCTATCAAACAGGTAGATGTTACAACCAACCAGTCGGCAAGACTACCGTTTCTATGATTCCTAATAAGATTGCACAGTTTTTGAAACTAGAACATCCTGAAACATATACAGGCCATTCATTCCGAAGAACATCGGCAACGTTACTGGCTAGTCTAGGTATTCGGTTCCCATATTGATTTTTCGAACTACGTCAATCCGATATGTCGAACCGTTCGCGTTTGTCGGCGTTCCTCCTTAAATAAGTCACTGGAGCAATATTCGGCTTGACGGGCCGCCGGCCGACCTATTAATCAAAGCCCGTCTAATTGCGCCGTCTCGCTCTCCTCTCTCCCTGGATCCGGAATATTTCATCCCGTTGCGACCGGCCCGGCCGACCCCCGCCATCAATCCGGGGGAGGACAAAAACCGGGGCTGCGAATTTTTCCGGTCCTCCGACGCCGTTTTATTTGTCACCGGCAACTGTCATAAATAAAATCCGGAATTAACGGGGGGCGGCGCCGTACAAGGCCGGCTTGATTAAGAAAGTCCTCGGTGCGTGTTGGGGGCGGGGGAGCTCGTCCGTTTCCCGTTCAGGCTTTAGGGTTAGTTCGATGGAGACGGGGAGAAACTTTCCACGGGAAGAGATTTTCGCAACTCTGGAGACGTTGCCGAGGTGTAGAATTCGGTAGAGAGTTAAAATTTGAGCTGTTTGCTTTGGGAAGTATGTTAAAAATATACAGTGTTAATCTACAGGGTGTCTCAGTCTGAGACACCCTGTCTCAGTCTTAATCTATGTGACTTCGGGAGCAGATCACTACTTTGTCATATAAACTTATTTCGAAATCTCAACCGTTTTCCAGATACATAAATCGATAGATAAAAAAAAGTATTTGGATCAAATAAGCAGATAGTTTTAAATGGATTTATTTGCCGAAAATGTTATTTTATTCTATTCAAATGTATATACTTTCGTCAAACTATGTGAAAGATTTGCTGCAATCTATAATTTTTCTTAGAATTTATATTATTTGTAAATATATTAAAATCTTTTATAGTTTTGAAATTTATTATCTCGGACTTCAGCTACAATATCTCTTACAGTTCATCATAAACGCAAACATATTTGTTTCAAAACTATCAGTCCCTTAAAATATATATATATTTAAAATTTAGTATTAATGTAGGAATTATTCAAGACAAATGTAGCATATTATAATCAAACTTATGTTTTCTTGAAAGAAAATTGTAGCAGGTCATAGAATGGTGTAGGTCGAAAGTAGCACGATAGATGGAGCCATTTACGCTCTGTGTATACACATCTCCTTGTGAGTAATGACACTAAAGCAGCTGGATCGTTCTAACAACATAATGACGAGGATCATCAATAAGTACCAAACCGACCTATGTCTGGTTGGTTAAACATGCGAACGATCCTAGCTCTATTGTACTAATATGTTGTGAATTGGAAACAACATATTTTTTATTACTGAGAAATATTTATATCCAAATATATTCTTAAAATAATAATACAATCATTTGACCAAAACTAATCAATTTTGTATTAAACAAACGATGCATTAATATACAATTATACAATACAAAACATATTTCTATAAAACCTATGTATATCATAAAATTAAGAATAGAATTCGTTTAACCGTAAATATCAAATATTTATTTTAAATGCTGCCTATTTTTAAAGTAAGAAATTTATATTCCTGGGTAGAAATTTAAAGTATTTAAATAAATAAATAATTTTCTTGAAAAAAGAAAATATTTTCTTGGGCATCACTTCCGGTGTGCCAAACGAACACAGATGATAGAGAAAGTAATTTTGAGCAAAAAAGTAGGGAAAATAGAATTCTAGGTTCTTTATAATTTTTAATTTTCAGTAGAAGCATAAGAAGTTATAAAAACGGCTTTTTCTGGAAAACCGTTTCAGATATCGTAATGAAACAAGTATATATCTTTTTTATGAAGAAATGGCCAAGGATTTCGATTTGCGAAAAAGGAATTACGAATTTGACAAATAAAAAAAGTTACGGATTTTGAATCTTGGCTTGCCCCCCGTAGGTACGCCCCTGAAAACAATGTGTCAATTTGGTTTAGATAAAGTAATTCCTGGTAATAAATGGTACCTCTGTATAAAATTTTATTAATTTATTTCGAAGCATTTTCGAGATATTGTAATAAAATTGTGTTTTAATGGCCTCCTTTAAAGGGTCGTAGCACTCGTAGCGTCACGGTGGGGCGTATTAGGTAGGACACATGTCGATATGAACTTTTTTGCTCAAAATTACTTTCTCTAACATCTGTATTCGTTTGGCACACCGGAAATGAAACACCCTGTATATAAACGTGCGATACCTTAAAATCAAATTTTGTACATTTGAATCAAGATTTTTTTTTGCGTGTAGCTAAAAAAAATTCATTTACTGTAAATATCTTCTGAAATAATAGAGGTAATTGAACTAAATTTGGTGTACGTTATATTGGGTCAAGTTTCTATAAATATCAAAACTTTTGCAGAACAACTGTCGGATATATGGAAAATTCATTCGACTATTTAAAAAAAAATACTACGGTGTTGTGTAAAATAAAAATCGATTATATTTTCTGGAAAAGCATGCCAATGGAAAAAATGCTTCTTACATTTTATCGATATCTGTCTATGTTTTACGGCAAATTGGATTTCTCTATTTCACTTCAAATTAGCCAGATTTTGCGCGCTAATGGATTTTTTAAATTCCTGTTAAAAATATTTCGACTACTTAGTGTCAACTAATTTAAATAAAAAATAAAGTAGCATTTTTTGAATCAATAATATTATTTGATTATTACAATAACTTCAAGAGAATAATTAATTACCATTTTTTTTAACTTTCTCAATTATTTTTTACCGCCTGTATTTTTGCTTTAAATTTTATTTACTGCAGCGGTGTTATTCTCGCACAAAAATGTTTGAGACATGCTGTATAAAGTTGAAATAAGAAAATTTAGTTGCAAAGCTTACTTCAGCAAATATTTATTAGTAAGGACATCAGTATTTTATTCATTATTCTTTATTAAAAATGTACAGGGTGACCCACAACTGATGGTTGGCCGCGCCATTACAGGAGAACGTCAATTCTTGTTTTTTGATGGTAATACAATTTTTGTTCCTGGACTCTGAAAAAGCGAGCAATTTTACTTTCGCATGCGTGACTGGTTTATGTTGTGTTCAAGGTTATTTGAAGGTCAACTCTTCTTTTTTGGTGGTAATACAAATTCTGACTCCGGATTCGGAGAGAGCGATAAAGAGTGACCACAAAATCCGCCCGTTTTTGAGACTTTGACAGAGGTGACAGGAAATATCCTAAAAATATTCTAAAAATATCCAAAAACTCATGAAAAATAAAAAATGAGTATCACTTTCAGATGCTTTCACTTTAGAAAGTCGCCCTTATTTAGAGGTTGAAAAGACAAAAAGTGAACAAATTAAGAATCATCAACAGTTGTAAAACCCCAAATATTTCTATGTTGTTATCAAAATAATATTTTTTCACATTATCTACAATTTTTGTATATTTGGGGATGATTTTACCCCTTGAGAGGGATGATTGATGGGGGTAGGGGAGTATTTGTGTATAAATTATTCTAATGAATGTATTTCGAAACATTATTTTTTTCATGCATAATTATTTTATGTACTTTGAAGTCGATGGTTGAGCTTAAGGGTGGTTTTACCCTCATTTAGGGGTATTTTCCTTCGGATCTAGTGATTATGGGTTATTAACGGTTCAATTATCAGGTATTAAAGAAAAAGAAAAAAATTGTAACTTTTAATATATTTTTCTGCATTTTTAGGCGTTTAGGGCATGATTTCACCCCTTTAGGGATATTTTGGGTTGAATTTCAATCCGGACAAAACCGTATCAAATACGAAATTAGATGTTTTCACGTTCATAATATTATTTTGATAACAACATAGAGATATTTGGGGTTTTACAACTGTCGATGCTTCTTAATTTGTTCGTTTTTTTTTGTCTTTTGCAACCCCTAAATAAGGGTGATTTTCGAAAATCTGAAAGTGATCATCATTTTCATTTTTCATGACGAGTATTTGGATATTTTTAGAATATTTTTAGGATTTTCCCTGTCGCCTTTGTCAGTCTCAAAAACAGTCAGAAAAATGAATTTTTTTGCGGTCACTCTTTTACATTCGGAAACACGATTGATTTATTTTTTTTATTTTCAAGTTCATTTAAAGGTCAAGCCCCTTTTTCGAACTTCTCAGGTTGGTATCTCATCAGGATGGCTAGACATCCGGAAAATAACCTCTATAAAAGTTGTTTGGGTCATCAGGGTTATCTTGAATTTACCCTTCAAAATGTTATTTCACTAAGACAGATGTGATTAATGTGACCTACTCTGAGTATGACATTTACTGTCATCTCTTTCAATTTGAAATTTTAGAATCACCTCACATGCTTTTGTATTGTTCTCTTAACGAATAGTATCGATTGAGGAAGTTTAAAAATGTATAGGTATCAAGTATTAATTTTTTTTTATTTAGTAGATAACAAATTGCTAATGGCCATTCTCTGTTGTTCCAGAAATCTCACGCGTGGCGGCACCATAGTGGTGAGTCCTGCGTACACCATAAGCAAGAAAAAGCTCTACCGTTCCTATAGGGAGGAGTAAGGGGTAAGGGAAACGTTCATAAGACTGAAAAAAGCAGAAAAAAAACAAGAAAAATATGTTTCACAGGACATTTCATACATGTATTATTTCAGGATGAATTTCACCATTGTCTCTTTAACTTTAAACCGTACATATTAAACTCATAGTTAAACGTGATAGTATTTAGTGGTAGGGAAACCCTTTAGCGCACTAGATGAGCGGGCAGGCTGCCCTCCCGCCTTGGTTTAGTGTCCTATGAATTGTAACATTTTTAATTGTCAACAATACGACTGAGTAATTTCATTGTGGCAGACGCAACGAAATTTTAAGCCTCCCGGACGGGGCCCTCGCGCCGCGTTACGGGCCACAATCAGTCCGGCGGCGGACATCGGCCCGCGACGCGTACCGAAGGCCGCGCCGGGACCATCAGATATCGGGCGCCGGCGCGGGGGGACCTGAGGACCGAGTGAAATCGAGAGAGGCCTTGCCCCCCGCGTCGGTGTCCGTTATAGACGGAGAGCTAGTAACGTTTTTGCTTACGGTATTCCAACGGGCCTTATGTTTTGCAAAGAGATGCAGCCTGACCTGCTGTAAGTAGAATAAATAGAAGTTTGGCAGTCACCGATGGTGGTTTTAGCACCTTTAAGACTCCAATAGGGGATGAAAGATAGAGAGAAAACGAAAAGTCTGCATTTTTGGTACAATAATACTGATAATTTTGTATGGTAAATTAAGTTAAAGATACCAATAGATGACACTATTGAGAAAAAGTGCCGAATAAGCGTTGATTGTAGGGAAAATATTCATTATAACAAAAAATGAAAAATGCTGGACATACATTGAAGTTTATTATAAGTGCCAACAAAATTGTTTTTGAGTATGATGAAAAAACTTTTTTTTTTTTTTGACATCAGCACCAATACCTGACAAAACTGAAATAAACCAATGGATGACACAATGTGTTTGCCCAATAGGTGACACATTTTTATATAATCTAAAGCTCTCTAACAGGCAACGATTGTCCAAAAATGTAACTAAACTTATCTCCTCGTCTTAAAATTTTTGGATGAGGCACTCTGCCTATCACCTGGTCCACAGATATTGTTGAAATGTTCTGTTCATTTGCAACAAACTCTTTCTTTGCCTTGTCCGTAGATTTTAATCCCATGACTCTTAATATATGACTCTTTCTTTTCTTGTACCACATAATGATTTTGTCTGATTGCGTTTTCCACCCAAAAATTCACAGAGCAGAAAATCGCTCTTCATTGAAACTGGAAATCATTGTTTTTGTCATCGAATTCTTCACCCCATGGAGATGATTCACTACTATCAAATGATAGTGCTTTCTTCTTCTGCTTTTGTCACTTATTTCTTTCTTCTTCAATTTCTGTTCCTCAATAATTTTCTTCCTTTCTTGTGTCACTTTACGTTTTCGTGCTCTTTCCTCCTTTATCTTTGTTTGCTTTTCTGCTTTCTTTTGTTTTTCATATACTTTTTTTTTTTATAATAACTGATCATTGAGGTGATGTAATCACAGCAGAAAGTTTTTCTCTTTTCATTATTTTCAAAGTGGTTGGTCGGTTGTCAGTCCAGAATAATGGCTCTTTTTTTCTGTTTCGGCATCTGAAAACAGTACAAGTGTTCCAAAATAGCCGCTTGTCTGTACAATCCAATAGGTGTCACCTTAGAAACCCATAGATGACACCCTGTGTCATCCATTGGTTGCTGGTGTTTTATCAGGATGAAATTTCTGTGGGCAAACAAATTTAAAATATTTTACTTATACGCGAGTGATATCGTAATAAAATAATAAAATCCAATGCCTGACCCGTGATGTCATCTTACTCTTTTAGCTATATCAATAGCTGACACTAACGTTATCAAATTCATTATACAAGAATTTATTTAGAAATCAATTTCACTCAAAATATAAAAAAAAACATACTTTTAAACTTACCTTCTTACGATATTGTTAAGAATTCAAGTCCAAGTAGAATTTTACACTTTCAAAGAAACTATCAAATGACTGCAATAAAACATAAAATAAAAAGCGAGAAATGGTGCAGACAATTAACTATGAGGTTGAGCAGTGCTATCAACATTAGTATTTTTGCGGGAAATATGTTTTAGTTTAAAAATCAACAGTTTAAAATTAGGTGTCATCTATTGGAACGAGAAATGTGGGGTGTCATCTATTGGTGGTTTTACCATATTGTCAAAAATTGATTTTCCTCAATAAAACACTATGCTAATTAAGAAACTCGTAAATATGTAGCTAAAAAAACATTTTCTATGTAAGGATATACTTAATTTTTGTGCATTTAACACAAAAATTACTTTTTTCATAAAATGGAAAATGTTCTTCTAGGACGTTTCGTTAAAAAGATACAGGGTGTTAAACTTCAAAAATTATTTTGAATTTTTTTAAATAATTTAAAAACTAATAAATGAAATAATTTGAATTTTGACATGTATTTATGTAAACATTGTCCAAAATCTGAGGGCTTTTGCCTAAAATTTACATGCTCCAGTGGCGGAGATACAGGGTATCGGTGGCATATTTTTCTAAATAAAATAGTACGCCACTGCTTTACGGTAACAACCATGATATTTTCAGATTCGTTTTTCAATTTTCTACAAATTTCTACTGTTATGTTTTTCGAAAAAAGCCAGATTTTCGAGTAAAATTGTAATTTTAAAAAGCATTATATTCGAATATCGAAGTGTGTTCTCAGTTCGTTTTTTAAGTTTTACTCGAAAATCAGGCTTTTTTCGAAAAACACAAGAGTGTAGCAATTTGTAGAAAATTGAAAGCCGAATCCAAAAATAACATGGTCGTTATCGTAAAGCAGTGGCGTACTATTTTATTTAGAAAAATATGCCACCGATACCCTGTATCTAAGGCATGTAAATTTTAGGAAAAGCCCTCAGATTTTGGACAATGTTTACATAAATACATGTGCCCAATTCCAAATTATTTCACTTACTAGTTTTTAAATTATTTAAAAAAATTAAAAATATTTTTTAATGTTTAACACCTTTACCAAACTTTATATGAAAGACCCCTTAAAATTCACCAAAGAATACGAGGTTTAATTTTTAGTCACCATTTGTGAACCACCCTGTATTATGCTGCTGTAAAAAGCATTGTACAATTTTCAGCAGCATCTTGATCATTTGTCGCTAAAACCAAGGACAATATGCCGGATATACTTTTCTATTTACAGCAGGTAAGGCAATAAATATTTCTCTGCAAGACAGAACGCTCGCTGAAACACCGCGAGTAAAAACGTTGCCAGCCCTTAGTCTATTAGATACGGTGATACTAGAGTGATTTTTTTATACGTACCTGGGCATATAGGACTGAACTGCTGACGGTTGAAATCTGTGCTATCGACCAATTTTTTAGATTCCTCCCCCGGTGGGGGGTTCATTCCGACCAATGTTCTTTTTGTTTCGCTGCTGTTGAAGGGCATTTAATAAAAAAAAATTGTGATCCGAATTACCTGCGGCGGTCCTATAGCCGATGATCCCGGAAATTTATCGTATTCGGAGCACCGTGGTTGCCGAAGTTAGGTTTCTGGGGATTTCGATAAAATAAGAATGATCAAATGTACCGTTTGACATTTTTTTATAAGTATTAACTCTGTTGTGTCTCTCTCTTCCAAGTAAAGGCGCGAGAGAATGGATTTTTATGTTTTTTTGGGTACGTCAATACAGGGTGTTTAATTTCTCGCACAATTCGAGAAATGACGGTCTATTTCGAGTTATGTCAATGTTTAAATCTCAAAAATACAAGTTTTTGAGTTTGTTTGTGAACAAAACATCAAACAGATGTTTTCAATTGGGAATTACATTTAGATTATGTAGATGTTGTGTATATGTGTTTACATCACGTCAACGTAAGAAACATGTTTATATCAGAATAGGTCGCAGAACATTTCATTTTCGAGATAGTATTGAAATAAAAAAAAGAAATACGTTTATTTAAATACCTTCAACTGTTTGACTTAGATGGATAAAACTTGGGGTAATGACAGCTAATTATGGACAAAAATGTACTGAGTTCATATCCGAATCTGTCAATCAGTGGCAGAGATGTTGGGAGATAACCAACCGTCACTAAAAACCTTGGAATTTCGACGTCACTGAGTATTTCGGAAATTGGATAAGTCTCATTTTATTAAACAAAAAAACAAGCCAAAACTATCCGTATCACAAAAAAATATAGAATTTTTTGTTAGAAAATATAATTTTAAATGCATTGTAAGCATCAAAAGATAAAAAATCATTGGACTAATTTTATTTTTTTTTGGGGCGTTTTATTATGCCTCAAAACATTTAAAATTGTTACAAAAATGATTTTCTTTAAACTTTTCATAATTACATTATATTTATAAATTAATATCTAACAAATTTACATAGTTCAAGTAATGTCTTTTTTGTGAAATGAATAGTTATTTTCGATTTATTTGACTTATTAAAAAATAGTTCGTTTTTCGAATAAAAAAAATATGTATTTGTCCATAAAAACACAAACCTGAATTAAATGCATTTATCTAATTCCCAACATAGTACGTGCGTCAAAATTCTGAAGTTTTTAGCGACAATGTCTTCGCCACTGACATATTTGTGTATTGCGCATTTTTGCCGATAATTTTAAGAGTTGAGATTTTTTTTATTTCTCACACCTAGATCTCGAAGAAGATGCATTTTACTACATATTTATATGAATCTCTTTTCTTCAAAAATGTGCGGGGTTCATATACGGATCTATCAACCAGTGGCGTAAATAACCGTCACTAAGAACCTCGGAATTTCGACGCCACTGAATATTCCTGAAATTGGAAAAGTGCATTTCATACCGGCTGACTTTTTCATTTTTTCAAAAACTAAAACTATTGGTTTCACGAAAAAATATAGAAATTTGTTAGAAAAAATAATTTTAAATACAAGCATAAAAAGATAAAAAATCATTGGGCCAATTTTAATTTTTTTTGGGGCATTTTGTTATCCCTCAAAATATTTAAAATTGTTTCGAAAATGATTTTCTTTAGACTATTCATAATTACATTATATTTATAATTTGACATTTAACATATTTACATATTTTAGAAATAACATCTTTTTTCGTGAAATGAATTATTTTCGATTTAATCGACTTATTCAAAAACGGTTCGTTTTTCGAATAAAAAAGGTGCGTGCGTCAAAATTCTGCGACAGTGTCTTCGCTACTGACATATTTGTGTATTGCGTATTTTTGACGATAACTTTAAGAGACTTTTTTTTATTTTTCACACCTATATCTCGAAGAAGATATATTCTGCAATCTATGTTCATATGAACCTTTGACCTTTATCAGCAGGCAGGTTTGGTGTGTGCAGTTGGGGTCACCCTGTATGAAATAGTGTACAGACCACTATAAATTTTTAGTAACAATTTTTTATCATAGCTTGGCGATTTGAAAACAAACACTCAGTGAATTATTAGTCGTTTAGATATTCGCATCAAATGCATAAAAAATAAAATATCCTACAGAGGTTTTCCTGTTTAAATTAAAGTAATGAAACACCCTGTATATAAGTACTTTATTTTTTATCCCATTCCTTTTAACGATTGAAAATCTTCCGACTTTTTCGCAGACGGTGCGAAGCTAGGATGGGATAAAAAGACACTTCAGAATCAATTTTTTTTTTAATTTGGGTGCTTGGGGAAATCCTTACTTGGAACAGAGTATATTTTTTTGTACATTTTCTGTAAATTGGATCTAACTTATTTGCATATAAGCTCATACGTTTGTGATATCAATATGTAATAAATCAAAATTCTTTGGAATAATTTAATCAGTATTTCTAGGTGTTACTATTATGTTTAATTCATAACGTACCCTTATTTTAAATTTAACCAGTATGTGTTGTTCCATGTAAGATTCTTATAGATAAGATCTTGTGTGATAGTACTTACGTACAGCTTTTTGTACTTTATCAGAAAATTTATTATTATTAATATATGTAAAATGAACATGTCAATAAAGTTTATTTAAAATAATCCCGATTTTTTTTTTCACCTCTACAGAAAAATGCTAAAGCAATGCAATAAAATAATTTAATAAATGGTGCTAATGGTGTAAATCAGGGAAAGCGATGTTAAGTATGAGAATAAAAAAGGTAAGTCACAATTTTTCTTAGTGTAAATAACAAAATTTAAAAATAAGAACAAATTAGCCTATGGAGTAGTTCTAATTCAACACCCTATATCTCGTATACGAAACGCTTAATAATCCACGTTTATATGAAAAAAATTCTGAAAATAATTTATTTTCTATTACCTTAAAATCTAGACGATCTCGTATAATGTTTTTTTGTAAAATATTTTTTTAAAATCAATATATCGTAGTAGGCACATTGAGGTTTCCAAAATTCTTCCATTATAAATAGTTTTAGGTACATTTCGATGTCAAAAATATTTCTGTGTTAAAAAAGTTATTCAAGTTTTTTAACTTATTAGGCACGGAAAACTATTTTAAATCTAAAATTCAAATTTCTTTGAAAGAAAAGAAAATCAAATTGAGGTTCCTCCAATTGAGTCAAAACTTATCGAAGTACAGTTTTCCCAGATGTACAATAATTCTTTTTCGAAACAATATACAGGGTGTTTTTTTAAACCAACGTCATAACTTTGGGAGGGTTTAGGATAAAAAATTTTGATGAACCAGGGTTCCATAGCTATTAATTTGCATATAGGGTGTTTTTAAATTTCGAAAAAAATAGAATAATTCTCTTAAGTATCTGAAGATGTATTACGTAGATTGATGAAATTTGTGCAATGGTTGTACAGGCTTGTCAAGGTTACCCAGTGCCTACCAAAAAAATTATGTGAATTTTATGAGAAAAGAGTAGTTTTACAGTTGTTACATTTTATTAAGTTTTTGGTTAAGTTAATGAATGTTAAAAAAGGTAATAAATCGAAAATGGTTCGTTTTTCCGAGAAAATGAAAGGAATATTGAAAACACAGAGTTGCAAATAGTAGTCGAATTTTCAAAATATTCAATGGCGTCGAATTTCTGTGGCTTTCAGTGTGAGCGACTCCCGGTATCTCCGCCACCGGTACAGGATTGTATTTACATTTACTGGATTTTTCTTTTAATTACTTAGATAAATTATTAGATGTGGCGGCTTTTGTCTTTCTTACCAGGGATGGTGGAAAAATTTAGATACAAAGTACTGAAAAAAAAAATCAAATATAATTGGATAGTTTTGTTTTACTATTGAAATATAGGGAAAACGTGCTCAAATTATTTTTTATGGCAAAAGACCTTTCTTCTGCTTTTGTCCGAAATA